CACTGATATCGATAAACATAGAGATTAGAGATTTTCAGTCATGTATTGAGTTTTACAGAATGATAGTTCGTTTGATAAACATTTTTATAAATAAATTTTCAAACAAACTCTAGTTTTGTAATGTTATGTATTTTCGAAAAATAGACTAAATTTTGTAATATTCTATAATTTATTTAATATAATATAATAAACTATTTGATTGCATCTGAAATTTAATTTAATGATAAGAATTTGGTTAATCATCGATTTGATATTTATTGGTATTATTTTAGTTTGTTATTTGAATATTTTAAAAATTATAAATCAAATTCTTGTCATTTTAATTTATTGATTAGCCATTTAATTCATAACTGATTAATGTATACTAAACATTGAGCTGTATTTAAATTAACCAATCAATTAATTATTACAGTAATGTTATGAAATAAATGTGCAATTCATTTTGTTATAGTCACATCATATGATTGTAAAGTCAAATATTTTTTATTTAAAATAAGCAAAAAATATGTTTAAATAAATATAAAGCAGAGAAACTTCGATAAAATCCAGACCAAGAAATGCCAACTCGTCTCACAGACAAACATTTGATTAAAATCCAAAATACTTTCCCCAAAACAAGTCATATGTTTTGACAAATAATTATTTGTCACAAGAGATTAATTACTAATTTAATTATAGAGCAGTTCTCAGAAGTGTTTGCAAACAAAATCTTTTTACTAATTATTTAGACACTATATAAGTATTTCTTTAATTGTTAGTCAAAACAGACTGATTTGAAGGATATTTAAAATGAATTATTTCTATAAAAATATGTAATTAATTTAGTTAAAGATATAAATTGCGAAAACTTTCTTTGCAAAACATTTTAGACTAATTATTATATTATCAAATTTAAATAAAAAATTCCTTATATAAAATTAATTAGTAATCTCTAGTCGAATGTGTATTTAATAAAAATAAAATCTCAAAATATAATAAGTATTCACACAGTTATAGAATAAAGTTTTCATTCAAGAGTTTTAAAAAATATATTTGATTAAAATATATTTCTTATATAAATTAACTGATAATTAAATTATATACGAAAGAAAGTATGATTTTTACATAAAAAATCACTACTAAAGTTTAACACTAGTATATCTAACGTGTAGGTACAAATAGCACTTCCAGTATTATCTATAATTATATATTGAACTTAAACTAATTATTTGCGATTATATAATATTTTTAATAATACGAATCATNTTTACATAAAAAATCACTACTAAAGTTTAACACTAGTATATCTAACGTGTAGGTACAAATAGCACTTCCAGTATTATCTATAATTATATATTGAACTTAAACTAATTATTTGCGATTATATAATATTTTTAATAATACGAATCATTTGTATGTTTAACTATATCTTATCAAAACCAATCAATATTGTAATAAAATATTATTTATAAGTGAATTAAGGGCTTAGCAACTAATCTCGATTTATGAAAAAATATAATTAATTGAAATATGAAAACACATTAATTTGTGATAAATTGTAAAAATATATGCAATGCTTACGTATAACAGAGTCAACAAGTCTTACAACTGGTTTGAACCAAAACTTAACAAAAATGAAAAACTGGAGTTTGGGAAAAGTCTTATCAGTTAATTAAAAAATTCAAAACGACAGGGCATTCCTTGCCCTTGAAATAGGACTCACCAAAGCTATACTCAATGGCTAATAAAATTCTGGGCATTAATTGATGCAAAAATATTATTATAAATTCATAGGCTGTGCCATGTTGTGAATCACTCGCCAGACACGGGTATCACTGGAAAAACTTGTATTTGATATTTTCAAACTAAATACCAAATAGTTATGTCATTTTGAACCGAAATGTTTTGCATTTCTAGTTAAACCCAATACTGTTTTGTAATTAGGGCTCACTTTATACGGTATTCTAAGAATATTTGTTTTAAAACAAATATAATACATGGAAAATTATTTATGTTGATTAGTATTATTTCAAGTGAATTTTTCTGTTTACAAATATTTTGGTTTAAATTCTTGGATTTCAAATACGAGAGAAAACTTAAACAATTTTATGATTTAATAGCTATATATTATTTCGCTAACATTAAGACGATTGTTATGAAACATAAACCATTTTACATACTTTACCTCTTGTTGAAAGTGATATGTCTTTAAATATTCAATAGAAAGGCAATAATTTATTTATAGGCAATATTTTGAGGATAGTTTACGAGAATGTGTTTCAATTCACTTATTTAAATACAATTAACTATATTTCACGGCTGTGTCTGTGAGGCACTCATATGTTATAATAAACAACTGACTTATTCTGTTAGTCTGAATAAACATTTATTTACAGACTTTAATGATTGAGTGAAATCCTTGAACAGTACTGGCGATCAATATATATAAATCTGATGAACAAATTTTATTGGGATTTGTTGCTAATGGGATGCGGTTTTAAGTTTAACTGCACTGCAATTACTGTAATTATATTACCTTGAATTGAATTGAATTCAATTTGCCTTAATTCTTTCAAAATGATACACTGTGGTTAACAGTTTAAATATTTTAAAACATTTCACAACTTATCAACAAAATTACATTTCCACAAATAATTCACATTAATAATTACCATAATAAAATGCTATTTTATATATTTATCTTTAGAGGTTTATATTCAGGTGTATATTTATATTCATAATACAGGTACTAGATCTAAAACACTAATAGGTAGTATTATTATTCTGTGTTTTCATAAATGTTATCGATATAAATTACATAAATACAAATTAATGTAATATTTATCTGAACCAAAAAATTAGGTAATTATTANGTGTCTAATGAACTTACACGTTAGTAAAATAATTACCAAATATTAAATTAAATATTGTTTTTAAAACAAGTACCGTATTATCTATTAATATCAAAAGTTTTTATGTATAGATTTATTTAATAGTTTATAATATTTTTTATTTCAATTAAATTTAATTTAATTTAATAAATTGATATTTAATTAATAATATACATATGGAGTAAATATTTATATTCCCATAACATATACCATAATAAGTTCTATTAATAAACAAAAAGAGTTTTAAATTCATATAATGATTAACATCTGTATTATGTATTCATAATAAATGTAAAAACAATCAAAATTTACAGTAATATATCAGAAAAGAAATGAAAATCAATTGATATTCTCTTATATTTAATGGAAAAACACTTTCAAAGAGAAAAAATATTTGTAATATAATTGAAAAATAAGTTTTTATTATCAATTAAACCGTGAAAAATAAAAGAATTCATAGAATTAGTGGTTTAGATCAGAATGTCTATAATCCCTACGAAATGAATGGAAGTGTCGGTGCATTTCCATCGATGACTAGTAGACATACAGGAGATAATCGGTTACTCATGGAGACAACAGGTGCGCACAATAGCCTCGGACACGACATAGGGGTCGCAGTTAGACGAGGGACGCCTGTCCTCGAAGTAGCCGAAGCCGTCGTCGGCCACCTGTCGGGGAATCCTAACGCTGGCGCCTCTGTTGGCGACTCCGGCGGCAAAAGTGTTGATATTAGAGGTCTCGTGACGACCGGTGAGGCGACGGGAGTTGTCGAGACCTCCGCGGGGATCGTATTTGGCGATATGTTTTTCGTGGTTTTTGCGCAAATACTCGATGGCCTTCTCGATCTCTGCCAGCCCTCCCTTCTCGCGCATAGCAACAGTGCTGAAGTTGGTGTGGGCACCGGCACCGTTCCAGTCGCCGGGGATCGGCTTCGGGTCAAACGTGACGCCGATGTGGAAGTCTTCGGCCACTCTGTGCAACAAGAATCGAGACATCCACATGTCGTCTCCAATGGTGACGCCCTCGCAGGGACCCACCTGTCCGTCAAGAGTTTGTATGAAATATATTTCAAACAATTTTTCATAATCTAATCACTGATTGCTTTCGCATTGAATGTTCAAAGTTTAAGGGCCTCTCGTATAGCGATAACAAAATGTCTGACAATTAACTCTACTGTCTATGAAAGTGATGCAAAAGTAGTTCAAACCTGGTATTCCCATTGGGATGGCATTACTTCTGCGTTCTCGCCGGCGATGTTCACCCCGGCGTACAGACAGGCCTTATAGTGGGCCTCAACCACATCGCGACCAAACACGCGGTTAGCGCCGACACCGCAATAGTAGGGTCCCTGAGGTCCGGGAAAGCCTCCCGCGGGCCAACCCAACGGCTTGTTCCGGTCGAAGCCGTCCAAAAGGGTGTACTCCTGTTCGATGCCAAACCACGGGTGCTGATCGGCCACCATATCCATCACCATTTTGCATGAGTGTCTGTGATTGGATTCCGTGGGATTCTTGTTGTATCGGATGGTCTCACACATAACCAGCTTATTGTTGCCGCCGCGGAACGGGTCGTTGTAGAGCTGCACCGGTAGCAGATAGACGTCGGCGTTACTGCCCTCCGCCTGTCCGGTGGACGAGCCGTCGAAGTTCCAGACGGGCAGCTCGTCCGCCGCCTTCGGCACGAAAGACACGGTCTTTGTCTTAGCCCTCACGTGCTCATCCGTGCCGTCGATCCACACATACATCACTTGTGTCTTGTCTTTGGGCTGCGAGAGGGACAGGTATTTGCCCAGAATTGCCGCGTTTGATACCAACGATGTCGCTTCCATTGTGTCTTAGAGGTGATAGTTGTGGACAATGTCTTCAACAGAGAATAGTTTTTATAAATTTAAAATTCAATGAAAATCTTTTTCACGAAATGCAGTGAAAAGGGAGAAATTAAATGAATAAAAAGTTTTAGTGTTTGAATCTCAGGAATCGTGTGAGAAGTGAAACATTTAGAGAATCGACAAAATTTATATCAATTGTTAGTCAAGGACTCGACTGAATGGAGATAAGTTAAAACAGGATTAGATTTGAGGGACAAACACATCATTAATGGCTCCGAAACAAAATTATTCACTAATTATAAGTAAATTCATCATTAGTTAGACAAACACTGGTTAGAGTCACTCCTATCGTACGATTTCTAGTGTATTGTATTTACCTAAACAATAATCAAAATGTTTTTTAAATATAAATATTTCTATAGATAGGAATCAATATGAAAAAAATTGTTGTTATTATGTTTGCGCTCCGAATAGAAATCATTAAATGTTTTGATAACTTAATAATTGACTGCAAGAATGAAAAATTGAGTTTTAATTGAATAGTTTTATAAATTACTTGAACATCACATGAGATGGTATTTTACTGTACACAATACATACGAATAACATGTTTTCCCTAAAAATGTTGTTATCACTGATATCGATAAACATAGAGATTAGAGATTTTCAGTCATGTATTGAGTTTTACAGAATGATAGTTCGTTTGATAAACATTTTTATAAATAAATTTTCAAACAAACTCTAGTTTTGTAATGTTAT